GAGTGAGTGAGTGAGTGAGTGAGTGAGTGAGTGAGTGAGTGAGTGAGTGAGTTTGTTTGTTTGTTTGTTTGTTATTTTATGATTTTATGATGCACTCAGCAATATTCCAACTAAATGACATCTGACTAAATAATCAAGTCTGGACCAGACAATCCAGTGATTGACATAATGAGCATCGATCAATGCAAACAGGATACGATGATTGCATCAACCAAGTCAGCGAGCCTGACTACCCGATCCCATTAGTCGCCTCTTACAAGCATATAGTCGTCTTTTACAGCAAGCCTGGTTGCTGAAGACCTTTCTACCCCGGATCTTCACGGAGGTGAGTGAGTGATCTTACTAGGGTTAAATACTGCCTTGAATAGCAGCTCATGAGTGAGGAAGGACCTTAGTTAATTAGGTCACAGACGTTTATCACTTTGGTGAACCCAAAAGCCTGGGTATGGTACTTGCATACCAAGGGTCATAATCATGGTGAATCTAGGGTTAGAACCCACGCCTAGGGGATCCTGACATGGAAAAGGGTGACCACTCTGCATAGAAAATTGAATGAACTGGGGTACTGTTTTCAGTCATGAAAAGGTCTCGATTGTGTTTGCAAGTAGCACAAATACTGCAACTGAAGCATACTTGAATGAAGATGACATGAACAGCCCATGTTTTGAGATGCGTCATGCTTGGCACTTGTTGGCATGATGGCTACACAATCAGCCAAATCACTGAGTCTGTCCTGGGTTTACAACAGATGCACCCCAGATCTTTGGGCCAACCATGAGTTCACAACAGATGCACCTCAGACCTTTGGGCCAACTGTGAGTTCACAACAGATGCACCTCAGATCTTTGGGCCAACCATGAGTTCACAACAGATGCACCTCAGACCTTTGGGCCAACCATGAGTTCACAACAGATGCACCTCAGATCTTTGGGCCAACCATGAGTTCACAACAGATGCACCTCAGACCTTTGGGCCAACCATGAGTTCACAACAGATGCACCTCAGACCTTTGGGCCAACCATGAGTTCACAACAGATGCACCTCAGACCTTTGGGCCAACCATGAGTTCACAACAGATGCACCTCAGATCTTTGGGCCAACCATGAGTTCACAACAGATGCACCTCAGACCTTTGGGCCAACCATGAGTTCACAACAGATGCACCTCAGATCTTTGGGCCAACCATGAGTTCACAACAGATGCACCTCAGACCTTTGGGCCAACCATGAGTTCACAACAGATGCACCTCAGACCTTTGGGCCAACCATGAGTTCACAACAGATGCACCTCAGATCTTTGGGCCAACCATGAGTTCACAACAGATGCACCTCAAACCTTTGGGCCAACCATGAGTTCACAACAGATGCACCTCAGATCTTTGGGCCAACCATGAGTTCACAACAGATGCACCTCAGACCTTTGGGCCAACCATGAGTTCACAACAGATGCACCTCAGACCTTTGGGCCAACCATGAGTTCACAACAGATGCACCTCAGACCTTTGGGCCAACCATGAGTTCACAACAGATGCACCTCAGACCTTTGGGCCAACCATGAGTTCACAACAGATGCACCTCAGACCTTTGGGCCAACCATGAGTTCACAACAGATGCACCTCAGACCTTTGGGCCAACCATGAGTTCACAACAGATGCACCTCAGACCTTTGGGCCAACCATGAGTTCACAACAGATGCACCTCAGACCTTTGGGCCAACCATGAGTTCACAACAGATGCACCTCAGACCTTTGGGCCAACCATGAGTTCACAACAGATGCACCTCAGATCTTTGGGCCAACCATGAGTTCACAACAGATGCACCTCAGACCTTTGGGCCAACCATGAGTTCACAACAGATGCACCTCAGATCTTTGGGCCAACCATGAGTTCACAACAGATGCACCTCAGACCTTTGGGCCAACCATGAGTTCACAACAGATGCACCTCAGATCTTTGGGCCAACCATGAGTTCACAACAGATGCACCTCAGATCTTTGGGCCAACCATGAGTTCACAACAGATGCACCTCAAACCTTTGGGCCAACCATGAGTTCACAACAGATGCACCTCAGATCTTTGGGCCAACCATGAGTTCACAACAGATGCACCTCAGACCTTTGGGCCACCCATGAGTTCACAACAGATGCACCTCAGACCTTTGGGCCAACCATGAGTTCACAACAGATGCACCTCAGACCTTTGGGCCAACCATGAGTTCACAACAGATGCACCTCAGACCTTTGGGCCAACCATGAGTTCACAACAGATGCACCTCAGATCTTTGGGCCAACCATGAGTTCACAACAGATGCACCTCAGATCTTTGGGCCAACCGTGAGTTCACAACAGATGCACCTCAGACCTTTGGGCCAACTGTGAGTTCACAACAGATGCACCTCAGATCTTTGGGCCAACCATGAGTTCACAACAGATGCACCTCAGACCTTTGGGCCAACCATGAGTTCACAACAGATGCACCTCAGATCTTTGGGCCAACCATGAGTTCACAACAGATGCACCTCAGACCTTTGGGCCAACCATGAGTTCACAACAGATGCACCTCAGATCTTTGGGCCAACCATGAGTTCACAACAGATGCACCTCAGACCTTTGGGCCAACCATGAGTTCACAACAGATGCACCTCAGACCTTTGGGCCAACCATGAGTTCACAACAGATGCACCTCAGACCTTTGGGCCAACCATGAGTTCACAACAGATGCACCTCAGACCTTTGGGCCAACCATGAGTTCACAACAGATGCACCTCAGATCTTTGGGCCAACCATGAGTTCACAACAGATGCACCTCAGACCTTTGGGCCAACCATGAGTTCACAACAGATGCACCTCAGATCTTTGGGCCAACCATGAGTTCACAACAGATGCACCTCAGACCTTTGGGCCAACCATGAGTTCACAACAGATGCACCTCAGACCTTTGGGCCAACCATGAGTTCACAACAGATGCACCTCAGATCTTTGGGCCAACCATGAGTTCACAACAGATGCACCTCAAACCTTTGGGCCTACCATGAGTTCACAACAGATGCACCTCAGATCTTTGGGCCAACCATGAGTTCACAACAGATGCACCTCAGACCTTTGGGCCACCCATGAGTTCACAACAGATGCACCTCAGACCTTTGGGCCAACCATGAGTTCACAACAGATGCACCTCAGACCTTTGGGCCAACCATGAGTTCACAACAGATGCACCTCAGACCTTTGGGCCAACCATGAGTTCACAACAGATGCACCTCAGATCTTTGGGCCAACCATGAGTTCACAACAGATGCACCTCAGATCTTTGGGCCAACCATGAGTTCACAACAGATGCACCTCAGATCTTTGGGCCAACCATGAGTTCACAACAGATGCACCTCAGACCTTTGGGCCAACCATGAGTTCACAACAGATGCACCTCAGATCTTTGGGCCAACCATGAGTTCACAACAGATGCACCTCAGACCTTTGGGTCAACCATGAGTTCACAACAGATGCACCTCAGATCTTTGGGCCAACCATGAGTTCACAACAGATGCACCTCAGACCTTTGGGCCACCCATGAGTTCACAACAGATGCACCTCAGACCTTTGGGCCAACTGTGAGTTCGCAACAGATGCACCTCAGACCTTTGGGCCAACCATGAGTTCACAACAGATGCACCTCAGATCTTTGGGCCAACCATGAGTTCACAACAGATGCACATCAGATCTTTGGGCCAACCATGAGTTCACAACAGATGCACCTCAAACCTTTGGGTCAACCATGAGTTCACAACAGATGCACCTCAGATCTTTGGGCCAACCATGAGTTCACAACAGATGCACCTCAGACCTTTGGGCCACCCATGAGTTCACATCAGATGCACCTCAGACCTTTGGGCCAACCATGAGTTCACAACAGATGCACCTCAGACCTTTGGGCCACCCATGAGTTCACATCAGATGCACCTCAGACCTTTGGGCCAACCATGAGTTCACAACAGATGCACCTCAGACCTTTGGGCCAACCATGAGTTCACAACAGATGCACCTCAGACCTTTGGGCCAACCATGAGTTCACAAAAGATGCACCTCAGACCTTTGGGCCAACCATGAGTTCACAACAGATGCACCTCAGACCCTTGGGCCAACCATGAGTTCACAACAGATGCACCTCAGACCTTTGGGCCAACCATGAGTTCGCAACGAATGTACCTCAGACCTTTGAGCCACCCAATATACACAAATTATTTTGGCAATTATTCACAAAAAATCCAAAGTACAACAGGTCACAGAGTGAGTGAGTAGGGTTTTGTAGTACCACTAGCAATAATATCCTGGTTGAGAACACCAAAGAATTGGCTCCAAATTGAAGAATCAAACCAGAATCTCCAGCAAACAAACCACAAGACGACCCAACTTCACCACGGCCACGTTTAGAACTGAGTCAAACTCAACTCACTTTCTCATAGCACTGATCATCACAGAATGAGTTTGATTGTGGAAAAGGAAAACATATACCGTATTTGACGTAATAAGTGCCCAGGGCGCTCTCAAAATTAGAAATAGGGGGCTCTTATTAGAATATAATTTTGGTGAGATAAAAAACGAGGTTGAAAGATTGTAAATTTTGTGGTCAGCCTGAAATGATATAAAAGAAGAATCTGTGTGTATTATACACGATAGATATATTTGCAAGAATTTAATTGCCCATAATTAAGGGTGCATATAACAAACGAGTGCGTATTACACACGAATAAAAAAGTCTTGTGTTCATTGATTAATGAAAAAGGGTGCTAACTGGGATTGTTCACTTGCCAATATATTAGCAAATAACGCTGTGGGCGCTTATTAGAGCGGGGCGCTTATTACGTCGAATACGGTAATACCGTTCATGAAAGTGTCATCAAATATACAGCCCTTCTGTTTTCAGGACTCTTCTGGTCAGTAACTCCCACAACACAAAGACACCAGATACTGAAACAAACCATACCTCTGTGAGGGTGTCTCTCCAGTGAAACAGACTATAGTGGGAGGTCTCTGTCATCATTCAAACTCCCCTTCCATCCTACAGTGTGCCATGCTCTGCTAGACCGACCAGACTAGTTGTCATACTGACACATCAAGAGGATTAAACAACCATTTCTCACTGGACTCATTATTACACGCAGGTGAGTTCAAGGAGTTTCTTTAATTAAAGTATTCCATAGTTAATTTTCCCCCATAACTTACATGTGCAATGTTTATTATATGCTATGTATTTTCATAAAGCTATGATATAAATCACTTCAATCAGTCTAAAAATATATCTTAAGAAGCTCTATTTAGAGATACGAACAGGATTTTATCTTTTGCATTTATTTCTGTGAATATTGTTTAATATATATACAATATAATGTGTGTAGGTGTTCTGAATGCATATCTGAAAAACTCTATTAAGCATCATGTCAAAAACTGTTATGATACATGATGACACCGCTCTAGAAACTCACATTGACAGCCCACTAGTCCTCATAATGATAACGCCCTTGAAACAGGCAAATTTCTACTAGTCCTTGAGCTACCTTAACTATTGGGCAGTTTGGTAGAGACTACAACTACAGGACTAGTGCCAATTCTTAAAGCTGTGACATTTCTTAAAATGTCATTTAGTACACTGAAACACTTGAGAATGCATCATCTTTAACTCGAAATGAGAAAAGATGTGTTTATACACTGAATGAGAATCAAACCCGTAGGACAGACAACATGGTTGTGTTTGATAATCTCTTGCCCAAATACCCAGAACAACTTAACTTGATTATTGTGGCCATATGTTTTCAGAGAGTTTCAGTATGTGTTGCAAAAATACTGGACCCAAAGAACCGTGGTAGATTAGGTCTTCAGCAACCTGTGCTTGCCGTAAAAGGCGACTATGCTTGTCGTAAGAGATGACTAACGGGATCGTATCCCAATTGTGTGAAAGATGCTCATGGTGTCAATCACTGGATTGTCTGGTCCAGACTCGATTATTTTCAGACCGCTGTCATATAACTGAAATATTGCTGAGTGCGGCGTTAAACAAACAACCAAATAAACAAAACCACAAAAACACTACATATATGTACTTTTCTTACTTCAATCAATCGCATAACTCTCACATTATATATATTTTGATTGTTACTTCTAAAAGACCATCAATATCGCTGACCATTTGCAATGAATGATTCAAAACTTGCATCATTTAGGAAACAATCAACTTGTTTATCATCAGCCATGTTACTGCCATTGGTGATGGACGTCCATGTTTTAGCTGTTGGTGATGGACGTCCATGTACAACAACAACAAACTTTTAGTTTATCTTGTATTTTCCTTCCATCACAAACCGCTCCTTCCCATATCACCCATATGCTCGACCCATCATCATTAACCTTCACGCCTCGTCCTCCTGAGTCAGCAGGATTTCTTCAAGCTGAGTATGATCCTAGACCACTGATTTCGTCAATAGCTGTTTAAGCAGGTAATTTAGCCCAGCAAAGAAAGTCAAACCTAAATATGCTTTTTACATATTTAGGCCGGTTCATATGTAAATGGTTTTTATTACACGCACAAATGGTAAAATCATTCTTTTAACTTAAAAACTATTCTCTTTAAACATATGGTGGTCTCATCTTAAGGTACTGTCGCTGGTTCTAACTGGTTAAAGATGTGGTCATGTATATCAAAGGAATATACACTGGAAAATGAAATAAGAAAATATAATCTATATACCATATTCCTCCCAATAAGCACCCAGAGCCTAGGTGATTTTAGCGCTAAGGTGATCATACTTCCCATACTTCAACATAGACTTATGACAACCATCGTTCTAAGATCGCTTTGTGGAACAGGGCCCTGGATGGGGAAATTTGTTTGTTTGTTTGTTGTCAGCAATATGTCATCTATATGACGGCGGTCTGAAAATAATCAAGGCTGGACCAGACAATCCAGCCAATTTGGATACGATGACATGCATCAACCCAGTCAGCGAGTCTAACCACCCGATCCTATTAGTTGCCTCTTACGACAAGCATGGGTTGGTGAAGACCTATTTTTATAAAAATCTGTTAATGTCTTTGAAAACGAACCAATCTGAATCCCTGACTGCACCCAGACCCTCTTAATTTTAAAAAAAGTGTACAGTGATAGATATATGAAATGTCAATGCCAGAGAATAACCAGTCTCAATTATCCATCAAACAGATTCCATTGGGTGTAAAAGGCAAAATAGAAGTGAAAATTCTATGAATGGATCACTGAAAGTCTGTGATGACACCAGGTGTTCGTGAAAACGGTAATCATGTCCTGCCCTACAGGCAGCACCCGCCACTCACACAATTTTCATAAAACAGTAAGTGTTTGTTGCCTGACAGCCATTGGCGAAAGCCTGTAATCAAACCAGACAAGCAAGATCAAAAGACCAGAAAATCTAGCGTTACTTTGTTCAAAATTTTAATTTTTAATTACGTCTGTTGTGTACATGTATTGTATTATCCAAGGGATAATACCCTCGATAATACCGAGGGACATCGGCCATGGATAAGGGATTTAAACTTCTGCTCAATATAAGTATTAAGAAGAATATTTAAGAAATATGTTCATTTTGCAACACAGTGGGGGGCAGTTTTATAATGTCATGACCCAAACATTTCTCAGCATAATTAATAAATTGGAACCAACTTTCAAATTACAGTTACATGCAATTATTAAGGAACTGTGTGAAATCTGTGGAACCCTGTACACTTGTCATCCCATCGAACGTGATTCACAGGAGAAGGAATTTTAACCACCCACCCACATCACTGCGTGCCTGGGGAAGTTAAACACTTCATCCTGGTGCTCTCCCCCCCCCACACCTCATCAAGTGATGCATATCTCCCTGGCAATAAAACCACAACAGTTTCCACGAGAGTCACGCAGAATCCACGATCTCAACAACTCCAACTTATATCAGTTGTAACTCTGGGGAAGTTACGACACTGAAATGTTCTGGTTTGAATGTCATGAATGCAAACCGTTGTTTGAAGCTGGGTCCTCGAGGAATGTTTAAAATGTGCGCTACACCGACAAATAGAGACTATTAGCCAAGTTTGCTTTCATATTTTAAATATCATATCAGGGTTAGAAACTAACAGTTTTTGTCCACTAGTCCTTATAATGATAACATATAGCAAAACCCTTAAAATGGGCCAATTTCTACTAGTCCTTGTGATACCTTTACTATTGGGCAATTTGGTAAAGACTACAGGACTAGTGCCAATTTCTAACGCTGCTTATATTGGGAATAAAAATTGTATTATGCTAGCTTTTGGCCAAATGTGCCGATCTTTATTCGCTTGTCACGTCAAAGGTCTGGTTTGGATCCCTACATGGGTACAATGTGGGAAGCCAGTTTCAAGAATCTCTCACCTTGATATTGTTGGAACATTCCTAGAAGTAGCATTATAACAACCATACGCATGATTCGGTCTTTAAATAAATACACATTCCAACAATTTCAGTCTTTTGATAATGTACAGTTCAATAAGTATTGTCAACAAGGTGCTTACAAAACCTGAAACTTTGCTTGATTCATGTCAACTTATTAATATTTCACTTGAATGAATAGAATTTCTTCCATTATTGCCAGACAAACATTAAGCATCAGCATTACTTGACTTGCCTTTGAATGTGTTTGTGACGGGTGCCACCTTTTTGCAAACACCTGGTATCATCATTATTTAAAAGTGATTCATAAACACATGCTCTTGATATAGTCGGACTCCTACTGACTGCTCTATGCAGAGATTTCTATTGGATATGGAAAGGGTTTTGTCGTTTTATTTACTATAAATCCTGAGCATTGGCCAAGTTAGCAGGTATTTTGTACATACAGCCTTACATATCACTCATTTAGCTGAACACTACATGCTCCAATAAATCTAGGTAGTGTACAGCGAAACACAACATAGAAACTCTTCCTCGTTTCCGCATCCGAACCATTCCCTCAAACTGCAATCACATGTGCCTCATTTGTCGCAGACGACAATAACTGTCCTGTTATGACTCACACAAACACTTGACTCATAAACGAAGGCCAGACCCCTACTAAAAAACACACTATCCATCAAACACAGTCATAAACAATATGTTGTTGTTTCCATCAGCAGGGCCACGCCAGGGCTGTATGCTTGGTCCTTCACTGTTACATGTGTTTAACAAGATCTCCTTACAATGAAAAACAAGTTGTTGTGATGGAGATATGCGGAGAACCTTTTAACCTCAAGGGCATTTAGTACTCATAGGGCATTTTCATTGTGAGGTGAGGTGAAATTGGGTTTAACGTTGCGTCCAAGATTATTGCACTTATATGGCGACGTGCATGCACGTGTGTGCGTCTGGCTGCTTGTACTAGTCCGGACTGATGCTGATTTATAGTGCTAGCCCACTGAGATACCATGCCGCAGTTTAACATGAATACCCCACTCAGACACAGTATACTGACTTCGAGCCGACCAGTCCTTGTTTTAGCCCCTTAATGTCGAGCGCCAGACAGGGTAACAACAAGTACCGTCTTTAAACGTCTTTTGGTATGACACAGCCGGGGATCAAACCCCGGACCTTCCGCTCTCCGGGCGGACACTCTATCACTAGACCACGGAGGAGGTCCGTTCTCATTGTGATGTTTGTGTCACATTGATGCTGTGAGCTAACTTTTTAGCAAAAGAAATCCTGTTTCAAGGGGTTTTAAATTCTCAATAAAACACTTCCATTGTCATGTCCAAGATATTTTTGTGTCTAATAGATATTTGAGTAGTTTAGTTTTGTTAGTTTGTTTGGTTGTTGTTTAACGCCGCACTCAACAATATTCAAGCTATATGACTGTGGTCTGTGAATAATCGAATCTGGACCAGACAATCCAGTGATTGACACCATGAGCATCGATCAATGCAATTGGGGTTCGATGACATGCATCAACCCAGTCAGTGAGCCTGATAACATAATGACAAAGCTCGTAACTTGACATTAACTCACTCTCCAGTGACTACACTTCAGTGAGTGAGTGACTTTTACAGACACATGAGCAATTAGAGCTCCTCTATCACTGCTATGACTCCAGGCCATGTATTAACCCTCATCCCATTGAAAGTTTACTTTGTTTACTTTTCAAGA